TCTGATTAATAGGTATGTCCTTGGCAATACATAGTTGAGACTTGAATTTTTTTTTTAAATAAAACCTGAAGTAGTCATAGACTTAAGGAATTAAAGAGATAAGTACTGTGAATCTTTCTTATCGAAAGCATTTTCCACTTAATTCCATCATTTATACTATGAATCCTAAAACCCAAATATTCCTGTTTAGAAAGGCTAGTTTGGTGATTTATTTCATTCATTTACTCATTCTTTTAGTCATCTGTGTATTAATTCAGTTTTTAAAACCAGTTGCTCTGTATGTACTATGTTCCAGACACTGGGGTGCAAAAATGAACAGGAAAATCTCCCAGCCTGCCAGGAACTCACCTGTAGTGAATATTCATTATAAGCCATAGGAACTCCTTTCGGCTTTAATCAAGTGCTGAGCCAGATCCACTGCTACATCTCAGCAGAAGATCATGGCCATTATTGCTTCACGATATGTGTGTCAGTGCCTGGCACACTTTTGTAAAGGTAGGAGACAATATTCTTCTTTAGCTTTAGCAGATTCGGCATCTTTCCTCCCATTTCAGCCTTTTGCAGTCTCAAATGGTGTAGATAGGGAGCCCTGAAAATGTATACTTTGACATTTTTAAATGTCCCCTACTATGCTATAACCACCCCCTGTTTTCCAAATGCTGCCATTAGTGGTTACAGTAATCATCTGTAATGTTAGCTTCTCAGAACCATGGTACAAGAGCTTCTTTTCTAATTTCCCAGATGGGAGGGAACACATGTACATGCTTGTTAGAGTTGCAGAAACCAGAAACAGCACTGCGTGGATTTGTATTTTTGGAACTCTATGGGCTTGTTTAAGCACTCAAAATCAAACTTAGATATCCATTAGGAATCAAATACCATTTCAGGGAAATCTCATGTGCCACACCAAGAGGAAGAAAACTTATAAAACGAACTCCTAGAAATAACTAGTTTCATATTCAGACTAATGTTTTATGTACTTTTTTCAGGATGCCAGATGATAAATATTGATTATATAAACCAGGGTCATTCCATTTCTTTGGAGGATTGTCTCTAAGCATTCCTGCCCTTTATTGAAATAGTAGTGAAATAGAAAGTTTAAAAGTTGGAAATATAAATTTTCCATAGGCATAACAGAATAAAGCCCTCAATTATGAAGGATTTTGGTGGCCCCTGGTTTTTTGCAGGGTGTTTTTGCAAGGTTATATGATTTGTGATCATAGTCTCTAGCCTTGATCTTACGTAAGAAAACTTAGTCATTGGGGAAAGGTTTCTGAAAGTAAATGTTATTTCTTTTTCAATTGTCTTTTTTAAGGTGACCAGTCTAACTCTAAATAGGACCCTTCTACACTTAGATAATAAAATGAATTTGTTCCTATGAATGTTTCTTCAAGCTCAGCTTTAACCTTTGTTTTAGATGTTGTATGAGTTTTAAAGTCATATTATATACTCAACAGTAGTTTCTGTTTGTTGCAGACCCTAAGTATTTTTTTACAACTTTCATTCGCATTTTACAGAAAGGAAAGTTCAAGGTTGAATACTCTATCATCTGTAAAAGAGCAAGAAGTGATCAGTAAGCTCAGACTCTTGACCTGGGCTCTCCTTTTGAAGCTACTAGTTCTGGAGGAGTTGGTGTATTCACAAGGCCAGGAGCCAGGAGCCAGCATTTAGTTTCCAGACATCATTGGTGACAAAACATATTGTAAAGTAGGTTCCTGAAAAATCTCTAGATGTGGAGAATAAGAGTTAGGAATGAACACTCATTTGTTCACTGATGTATTCATTCAGCTAACATCGATTGAGTGGTTTCCATATACCAGGTGCTATGCTAAGATCTTGCTGTTACTCGTCCTCCTCCTCACCCAGTTAGAAACAGAACAAGACAAAGAAAGCTCTACTTCTTATATCATGCCACCTAAAAATATATTCCAGAGGTATTACAAATCTACCATGTAAAAATAAAATTATAACAATATAAGATGAAAAACTAGAGAAATAGTTATGGAACCTCAGAGTTATTGACAGGACTTAACTCTGCAAAAATCTAAATTTTCTGTGATGGCAGAAGAGCCCTCAGATGAAGTAAAAAGTCAAAAAGAGAAAATAATTTTAGCATATGTGACAGAAAAGGGTTAAGAAACCTAATAACAACAACAAAGGCTAAGAACCTTGAAACAGGATGGATAATGGATTTGATCAGGAAATTTACAAAAGAAATGTAGATGACCAGTAAATAAGTAAAAGTTGCTCAGCCTCATTCATCGAATCTAAGCGGAGATACCATTTTCCAGATTTTAAAAAGAGGGACAATAGCCATTGTTATCCAGTGATTCAGGATGAGGGAAAGTAGGCTTATACTCATACAAACTCATGGGTCCAAATGTGAGTTGTTGCAAAATTCTTAGAAAATAATCTGTCAAATTTTATTGAAATGTAAAATGTTCATAACCTTTGACCCAACAAGCTCAATTTTAGTTCTCTATTAAAAAATATAAGTCCCACTACTAACAGGTGCATGCGTGCATGTACACACACACACAGACACACACACAAAAGAATATTTATTGCAGCACTATCAAGTGGCTAAGAATTGTGAACAACCTAAAGTTTGTTGTGAGGGAAATGGTTTAATAAAAAAATAAATTCATGCCGTGGAATATTATGTAGCTATTTAAAAAGCAATTGGTTGAGTGATATGTTTCCATTAGGGAAAACAAAACAGAAGGTTAAAGAGCTGTTTATATGCAAGTGTGTGTATGTTTTTATGAGCATAAAGAAAGTGGTTTGAAGCTACCTACGTACACAGTTAATATTGGTTACTTTGAAAAGTAGGGTGTGAGGGAGGGGCGGAAGAGCTTTTTCTTTATAAACTTATGTATGGTTTGACTTTTTAAGACAAGCCTAAATTTTATAATCTAAAATTTTTTAAAAAAGAATGAAAATGGAAAGGGAAGTGGCCAAAGAGACAGGAGAAGACCAGCAAGAAAACAGCATTTCGAGAGGCAAGTAGTCACCCATGTCAAATACTGTTTAGGTATCAAGTGAGAAAAAGGAAGAAAAGCATTTGGTGTTTTTAGTGGGTAACCTTGGTGGGAATAGTCTTCATGAACTCATGGAGTCAGTAGTAGGCTATTGTTGTGGGCTAAGGGATAAGTGGAAGGGAAGGGAATAGAGAGAGTATGTAGATAACTCTTCCAAGTAGTCTGTGAAGGGGAGAAGGGAGAGGAGAGAGAATCCAGGGAGCTCTGCAGAGTTCGGCAAGATTCTTTTCTTTCTTTTAATAATGTTTCTTTTTTAAGATTGGAGAGACTTGTAGTCGTTGTCCCTGTGTATACATGTCACATTTGTGCATTTTACAGGCACAAGAGAATGCAGAGCAAGGAGACTGAAGGTTTTGGAGTTGAGCAGGATAAGTGATGGCCAGCTTCCCAGGATGAAGGAAAAGAAAGGGTGGAGTGAGTTTTAGACAGACGAAAGACATTGTATTTGAGGCTCAAGATACAATGTCAAGCTCATGAGTAGTGAGTCTTAAAGTCTAGGTGTGACCCCTCCCTCTTTTGCTGCTGGTGTGGCCACTGTACCCTCCTGAGGATCTATAAACTGATTCAGAAATACAGGTCTCTTTTGGCCAGGCACAGTGGCTCATGCCTGTAAGCCCAGCACTTTGGGAGGCCAAGGCAGGGAGATCACGAGGTCAAGAGATCAAGACCATCCTGGCCAACATGGTAAAACCCCATCTCTACTAAAAATACAAAAATTAGCTGGGTGTAGTGGTGTGCGCCTATAGGAGTCTGAGGCAGGAGAATTGCTTGAACCCCGGGGGACAGAGGTTGCAGTGAGCCGAGATCACACCACTGCACTCCAGCCTGGCGACAAAGCAAGACTCCATCTCAATAAATAACTAAATAAATAAATAAATAAGTGAAATATTTATATAGGTTCGTTCTTACCAGTTTCTATGAATGAAAGATGTTAAGTGTTTAACATGTATTAAGTGGTTAGTAATTAAGTGTTTAAAATTTTTATATTTGACTTGGAGTCACTATCAACCAAAAATAAATTATTAAGGGTTATTAAAATTTGGTATTCACAAATTTAAATCAATGTGTGCTACTAGATTTATTTTAATTCAGTATTTTATTCAGAAGTCTGGCAGACAGTTGGTGCTTGGCAATAATCATAAAGCACATGCACATAGTTATAAATTCCACAATTTTGATTCAGGACACTTCATCAGTGTATCATCAGTATTGGCTTGAGTTGGTTATAATACTCAGTTGCTGCTATTCTTGCTTTTTAATTATAAATTACAATAAATTTAGTTTTATCATTATCAATTTAGTTTATTGTGTGTTATTTGGTTAACCTCACAGTGTTTGTTGGTACATACTTGTATTAATAATGTTTTGTCTTATAGTGTTCTTATAACTAGACTTTTAAGATATGTATGTCTTGTGGTTCATAAGAGGATCATCCAATATCATTTTGCCAAAGTAGATGTGTACCTAACCCCCTTGCCATTTGCTTGTATGGTGACACACTTCATGGTGACATGTTTCCTGGGAAATTTTGCTATTTAAATAACTTACAACACACTGTAAAGGTAGATGTAAGAAAATTACTGGATATTTTAATGTTTTTTGATGTTTTACAATATAAATTATGTTTATAGTAATATGTTTACTGCAACTTAATTATATTTTTGCCGAATTCTTTGTTACCATCAGGTTCACTACCCGCCTCCCACCCCCTGAATGTGGGAACAGGTAAGATAGGTGGAGGTCTTTTGCTTTGCTGTGGTGGATGTTGCTCAGAAAGTTTAAAAGCCATCCCTCTAGAGGAGTGCATAGGTGTGTGGAAAGGATGTGCTAAGCAGCTAAGCAAAAGTGGAATAAGGGTAACTCATAGTCATGGCTTCAATGCCCGTGGACTGTGAGCTTGTTACTGATAAGATGTTAGGAGAGCAGGTGCTGATGTTGTGTTTTCACTTCTTGTTTAAGGATGTAAATGAAGACCCTGGCGAAGATGTGGCCCTCCTCTCTGTTAGTTTCGAGGACACTGAAGCCACCCAGGTGTACCCCAAGCTGTACTTGTCACCTCGAATTGAGCAGTAAGTGTCATTAACATTAGGTAGCCTGGTGCTACTTCTTGCTAACCAATATGTCTCATTCTTTCTTTTGCCACTCTTAAACTCTTAAATTTATTTCTCTTCATTGACTTTTGTTTCCTTAAAAGATTCATTGTATTAAGAATTTGGATTGCAGAGTAAATGCAGTTAGTACTTGCCACTACACCCTTTTGGTGAGTGTTACTATGCAGTTAGTGACATGAATATTGCTGTACCTTTGTCGAGAGAAGAATAGACAGGCTGAGTCCAAAACTGGGACTCCCTCCAGATGTTCCCTTGAGTATGAATGGTTGTAGCCTATGACGGGCTGCTAAACATCTGGCCCAGTTTCTTACATATTTGTAACTATTAGTGATATTTATAAAACATAACTAGTCTCTTTAAAATATTTAGCAAAAACTTACTCAGAAGTTAGTAAAGCTAATGTTAAAAGTAGGTAGTTTAAAATGATAACCTGTTTTATTTCGCTGCTTTAAAACAGCTGTATATAACTTTACACAGCATTCAGGCTACATGGCAGAAATAGTTTGATATCGCATTTGTGCTCTAACCAAGTAACTTTATTCATCAGTAATGAATTTTATAAGGCCTGGATTCACAGAGTGCTTATTGTGGGCTAAATGCTTTAGTAGCTTATTCTACTTCAAAGGAAGCTGAGGTTCATTGAAAATGGATTATAAGCAGATTTGGTTGGGAACTTCTGACAGGACAGATTTTTCATCAGCAAAGAGAGTTTTTACAGACTCTGATTGAAATGTATTATTAAACTTCTCTGTGAGTCATTTAGTCACAGTTGGCTGATTTCTGTCTGTGAGTAGATGTGGTCACTATCTAGCATTCTTAGTAAAAATACTGAGCCATTTTTACCCCTTCTGACTTTGGTTGCTCTAATTTATGAATCATGGACACATGATCTTAAAAACTGATATCATACAGCTGTTTATACTCAAATACAGGAGCTTATGAACATCAGTAATCTATAGGCATTCTCTTGTTTATTTATGTATCTGACACAGCGCCTAGAATAGGATTTTACAGTAGCAGGCACTTAATGAATGTTTAATTTTTGTTTTGAGACAGGGTCTCACTCTGTCGCCTAGGCTGGAGTGTAGCGGCCTGCTTATGGCTCACTGCAGCCTCAACCTCCTGCGCTCAAGTGATTATCCTACCTCACCCTCCCAAGTGGCTAAGATTCCAGGTGCCACCATGCATGGCTAATTTTTTTATTTTTATTTTTATTTTTGTAGAGACAGGGTCTCGCTATGTTGCCCAGGCTGTCTCGAACTCCTGGGCTCAAGTGATTCTCCTGCCTTAGCCTCCCAAAGAATGTTTTATCTTTCTTTTTTTCTTTTTTTTTTTTGGACGGAGTCTCTCTCTGTCACCCAGACTGTGGTGCAGTGGTACAATCTTGGCTCACTGCAACCTCCACCTTCTGGGTTCAAGTGATTCTTGGGTTTTAGCCACCCAAGTAGCTGGAACTACAGGCACAAGCCACCACACTTGGCTAATTTCTTTTATTTTTAGTAGATACAGAGTTTTGCCATGTTAGCCCTGCTGGTCTCAAAATCCTGACTTCAGGTAATCCACCTGCCTCAGCCTCCCAAAGTACTGGGATTACAGGCATGAGCCACTGTGCCTGGCCCAACGAATGTTTTATTATTTTTTTAAATGAAAATGCTGACCCATATTAGTAAGTGATCAATGGGTACCAGAGGCAGTAGAATGACGCGGCATAAGGCAAGGGCGTTGAGTCAAACAAATCTGGTTTAACCCTGGTTCCTGCCACTCACCAGCTGGCACAAAATATGACTTCTCTGAGCTTGTTACCTATTTTATAGTGTTGTTTTCAGGATTATATTAATACTGTTCATAAAGCATTAATCATAGTGCCTGGCACTATAGCAAACACTCAGCAAGTAGTAGCCATGAATAATACTATTATTGTTATAGTTCACAGGAGAAGAACAAGTGAGTGTTTAGCAGGGATGAGTTGGGGCAGAAAAGGAGAGGATGGGTAAACAAGGGAGCAAGTACTAATTCTAGCATAGCCACTCATTGTGTAACTAATGAGTTAAATTACAAAGGTGCTTTGGTGATGAGAAAAGAGTTAATGTAACAATTGCAAGATGTGGGTAATATGAATATATTAGTTAAGCTGCAGGCAATAATTTGCCAGCTCAGAAAAGCGTTTGTTCCAGCAGCTAGGTTGTTTTTCTTGGAAGTTACTACACCTAATTTGCAGATAAACTTGCTAATAAAATATTCTCACTCTAAAAATCTAAGATGTGTGGGAAATGATTGGGGAAGGGTATATTTTAAAAATAATTTTTCCTATCTCTGAAGTCCAGCTTTCTCATGTTTTTCCTCCCTCTTTATATTAAGAACTCCCCACAGCATATCGTTCTAGATCATTTTTCTGTTACTTCCCCTCATATACTGTTTTCTTCAGCCAGACCTGAGCACTTGAAGTTTTTTTACATTGCCAGCACTCTTGCCTCTGTGCCTTTGCTAAAGCTCTTCCTTCCACATACAGGGCCTTTCCCTAACCCCCTCTTCCTGTTGAAATACTATACTTTTTCTAAGGCCTTATTTAGATGCCTCTCTACCAACCATTTTCCCTGAGGACAATTAGTCTAGCCTTCCCTGGAGCTCTCACTGAATTTATATTAATATTATAATCTATATTATAATTTACTCACCATAGCGTTAATTGTTGATATGGATTTTTAAAAATATTTTGCTGAATTGCAAGCTACTCACTGAGGTGAGGAACAAGTCTTCTTTAATGCCTTGCATAAATGCAATGCACAGTTATCGATCGCCTAATTGGCAGTCTTCTAGGTTAATAAGTAGTTCTCACCAAAATATTGGAAAATGCCTCACTGATAGGTCTTATACTTTTTCTGGTTGATACAAATTCACTTGGTAGAACTATATCTATAATACCAAAACAAAATACCAAACGTTCTTATATCTTTAAGTAGAAGTTTTCAAAATGAGATTTTAGAGAAAGAGGAACATGAAAGAAGTAAACTTGGGGTATGATTTCTGTAAGGGCTTAGATATTTGCTAAAGTTATTAATACTTTTGGTTAATTCTTCCAGAGTTCATAGCTTAGAACAGACATAATGCCATTTCAGGAAGGCCATAGTCATGGGATAGGTTTTGAGAATGGACTGTGCTAAGCTCTCATTTGTTTTTTGTGTTTTATACTACCTTGTCAACTCTTCGCTATCCAAGCATTGATTATAGACTCAGATGTGGTGAGTCCTTTCAGGAGTCATGGGAAAAGCATCCCATGTGGTCCCGCCCAAAGCTGATGTCAGACTCTTGCCCTAGCTGAGGTTTGTAGTCTTTTTGGCTTCTGCTATGGCTCTTCTAGGAAGTCCCAAGCCCCATGCAGTACATTTGACAGGGAGAGGCTCAGGGGAAACCAACAGCCCCATCCACACTGGGTAAAAATTATCAAGAGAAGGCTTGCATTCCCACCACCTCCACCATGGGCATAGAAAGATATGGGCCTGGAAGGAGCCCCATTCCAGTCTGTCTCTCTGTTCCAGCTCGTCGGTGCAGTAGGCAAAGATATTATACTCACACTAATTAGTCCCAGCAATAGGAAAAGAAAAAGGCTACTTTTGGGTCTTGTTATCTTATGTAGGAGAAGATATCAATTTGTTATACCCTAAAAAGACTCCAAATTAGACATTCCTGACAATAGAGAACGTCTGTCAGATTCATTGTATTCTAATGTATTCCCAAATGTATTCTAATTTGATGAAGCTCTGAAATGTGATTGCACTCTGAAGTCTGTTTGCCCAGGGTCCTGGAATAGTTGTCTGGTGTCTCTGGCAGCCCTGCCGCACATGGCTACTGCCCTTATGCTGCTTAGATGCATATTCTTCCCAGTCCCCCACTGTGCATTTCTATGGCTTGCAGAGTAAGTGTTTCTGAGAAGAACTTTTGTGTTCTTGCACAAGGGACATTTATGAAATAAACATATTTCTGGCCCTATACATTTGTTTTCCAAGGGAGCAAAACCAATCAGTTGAATTAGACACTAAGTTCTGTTCATTTAAAAAAAAAAAAAAAAGGCCTGGTGAGTTATACCAAAAAAAAAAAAAAGCTAGTAGTCAGTGATGCAAATTAAATTTTGGTTCAATATTAGAAAAGGGGAAAAAATAGTTTCTAAACCAGTTGCTTTTTTTTTCCTGGCAGAAAAGCTGTGAGTTTTAAGGTTACATCATCAGAGCCGGCGTGAAACATGCTCTACCTTTCCCTCTTCCCCAGACTGTTGGCAGTTGTAGTAGTGAAACCAAAGGTTATATGGGCATAGGAGTCTGCGTAGCACTCTTTTCTGAAAGGTGTGGGCCCTTTTCTTGGCTTGAGCCACTTTGTGGGAGTGGCTTGAAGACAACCAGCTTCCTCATTCCCTGCGCTGTTCCCACTTGGTGCATAAAAAGAGGACTTCAGCCCTGAGGCGGACCAGGTGGCATCTTTCACAAGTACAGAATTTGTTTTTAGAACTTTTTGTTAAGTTACATCTGCCTTGGAAATGAGTACTCAAAACTTACCAGCCCACAAACGCTCACTATTGGTGAGGCCTGTGTACCTGCAACATGCATGTTTGTTCTCTCAGGCAACAGAAACTCAATGAGAATTGACCACGTGTGAGGCCATTTACCGGGTGCTCCAGAGGCTGTCAGTATAAATGAAATGTAGCTCATTCCCTTAATTTCCTTATAGTAAGGGGTATAAGAACAAATATGGCAAGTTGCAACTTGTGGTCTAATAGAAAAGGCATTTTAATACATGGCATCAGAAGTCCCCTGTTCCTTCACTTATTGGCTGGCAAGCTTGGCTTCAGTTAACCTTTTTGAGCTTCATTTCATCTTCAGTGAAGAGGAATAAATCTGTTTCAGTTTCATGTACTCCAAGTGGCGAGGTAGAATAGAAAGGCCCTACTGTAGTGCTTGCCCATGGTT